TGATGCCACTTATAGGGCGGAGTGACGTGTCCGTCGGAAAACACGGTACTTCTCCAAACTAAGGTCATTCAAAAAGTTACCTTCAACAGGTAAGATATTCATCCATCCATCCATCCATTATCTTTACCCGTTTATTCCATTTTGGGTCACGGGGGTAACTGGTGCCCATGTCCAGCAATCACTGTGCGAGGGGCGGGGTACACCCTGGACGGGTCGCAAGTCCATCACAGGGCCACATAGAGACAAACGAGACAAACAACCATTCACACCTAGGGACAATTTAGAGTTACCAATCAGCCTAACATGCATGTTTTTGGTCTGTGGGAGGAAACCGGAGCACCCGGAGAAAACCCACGCATGCACGGAGAGAACATGCAAACTCCACCCAGAAAGGCCCCTGAACCGGGGTTTGAACCAAGGACCTTCTCGCTGAGAGGCAGCAGCTCTACCAGTTGCGCCACCGTGCTGCCCAGGTAAGATATTGATTGTTCTTAACCTTTTCATGAGGCCTCACGTCAAAATTTCTGATTTTCTCATGACGTAAGAAGCAGCAAATGTAAAATGACTATATTTGAGTAGTTCATTGATGCCAAAGTCTACAAATAGTCTAAATGTTGAAGCCATTTTACAAAAGCCACAAACTTTTGTGAAAGTCCAACACTGATTTTTTTGATCAACAAATAAAAAGAAATGAACTTTCACAGAGGCCCGTCTGTGCCTCATTATGTAGAAATACAAACAGAACATATGTCATGTATGAAGCAAGTATAACTCAAAGGTTTTTTCATTTGCACAGGCTCGTTTACTGTACCTGTTTCATGCATGCACACATTATAACTCTTCAGTCACACCCACAGGACACTGGCTGTTTTTTAACCTTCCGTACAATTAGTGCAGCTTATAACGCGTCACTTTGTGTGTGCAAAGGATCTAAGGCTGAAGTCATTAAATCATGCTTTCCTTTCATAAAAGCATGTGAATTGTGTGCATGTTAGCATTAAATTTAGTTTTAACAAGCCCAATTGAAATTGCAACAGCAGCCAGAGTTCATGATTAACAATGATTTATTATTGCATGAACGTTGGGGGGAAATAAATGACAGCAAAGCAATGTGCTGTCTGCTGCAAGCTGTTTCTGCTCTCCGGTGTTTTCACCAGACCGAATACGAAGCAGACAGTGTGACTGTAAGACCTCCTCACACACACACACACACACACACACACACACACACACACACACACCACATCAGCACCAGATTTATGAAGAGAAAGCCGTCCATTCAAACACAGCTGATGAGAAAGCACACAAGCACTGCATCAGCATGTTTGTCAATTATTGCAATGACATACCCCAAAGCACACACACACACACACACACACACACATTCCATCACTTGAAAGCTTCAGATTTCTTCTATTCAACTTTATTAATTGTAAAAATGTATTAAACTGAATGTGAGGTTGCAGCAGTCCCAGGGAGCCAATTAAGAGAGGGCAGATAAGCTTTACGGAAATCTTACAGGACATTATACTAATGATATTTGAATTTGCGGGGGGGAGGGGGGCAAAAAGCCTCTTTTGAGTCAGTGATTAGGAGGCTACGATGTATGCCTCCCACACACACTTTGAGGAGCACAACAGTGCAGTACAACGGATTTAGATGTGTCCACCTACTCAGTGAATCTCATAAAACGGTCATTAAACAAAGCAAGGTGCACGGTTTCCTGCACTCACACAGAGTAAATAACATCTGCAGAGGCTGGAAATTAAACTGCAAAGATGAAATTACATAACATGTTGTCTTTGTGCTGTTTTTTTTTTTTGTTTTGTTTTGTTTTGTTTGTTTCTCCTTCCAAACCAAGGGAACCACCCAATCACAGCAAATTACCCTGAGAAGAGGAAAAATATCTGCCTCCTTTCATCGGTGTCCTCCATCGCAAATCTCAGAAGTGCACTAAAGTGAGCTCAAAGCACGGCTGTAAGATAGCCTTGTTAAAAAAACAAAACCAGGGATTTCTCCTTTTCCCTTTATGGTGCATATTTCAGTAAATAACTGAGTGGACATTTATCTATACACACACGGGCTTATTGAAATCAACAACCATCCTGCTCCTGAACTGATGAGCTGTCAAAAGGTATGGAACAGAATTTGGGATTAGAAGTTTCCAGCCACACGTCATTTAAAAGTGCTGGAGTTCTGTTAAACCGTGTGACGCGGAGTCAAGTTGCAACTATCCTCCAGATCAGGTGTTTCATCTCAGCAGGATTACAGTTTGTTAAGGGCCACTAACACGTCATCAGCAGGGTGACTGCTGAGATTCTTACCCCGTGCTTTTAAGTTTTTCATTTCATGCCACCCTCCTCTGGTTTCTTGGCCCCTGTTTGCTCTCAGACATGATCCACCTAAAGAACTGCTGCGTGATCAGGACAGCGGATCTTTCTCAAGACAGTCTTTTCACTGAGAATGAGACTAAAACCAGTCCCTGGTCATAAAATCACATCTCTCTGGTGGCGTATGACACGTGAAAAGACGGGAATCTGCCTTTGATCAAAGCTTTATTTTGGGTTACGAATGATTCTGTGATGGACTTGCGACCTGTCCAGGGTGTCTCCCACCTCTCGCACAGTGATGGCTGGACATGAGCACCAGTGACTCACCCCACCCCCACCCCCCCCACCCCCACCCCCCGCGCCCCGAAAAGCAAGAAGCAGGTAAAATATAATGGATGGTTACAGATGAGTTAAAGGGAAGAAATCAGCTTCAAGTGATAAAATTCATATTCTTGATTTTCATTTGATGAGACTGACATGTTTTTATTTTATTTTATTGCAGACAAACTGTACACATAATCTACTACCTGTTCATAAGTACTCACATACTCATATATTTTTTCTTTTATATAGTTTGTTTATACCCTTCATATTTATAACCTGTTACTCACAACCTGTATATATTTATACATATAGCACATTCAAAGCAACTTACTGTA